CCATGCCTCTGGTCTGAGAAGACGGCTCGCTCTTTGAGAACAGGAGCTCGTCTTCCGAATCTCCGAATTTCCTAGGAGAACCTAGCACTGGTGCGCGACGCATCAGGAACCCCAGGGGCATGGGCTGAACCGGGCTCCGGCTGCTTTGGAGCCACACGGAGACGTGGAGCTTCTCACTTGTTGGGGGGGGAGGCGGAGCAGGAACCCCGGGACCACGCGGAACAAGCACACGCTCACGTCAAGAAGGCCTGAAATGTGTTCCCCGAAATGAAGATACCGAGGAGGCTTTGCATATACCTGGAGGGGGTTCCTGCCTGAGCACTTTGCCGGGGAAGGTCCCCTCCCCCCACAGGCCCCGCAGGAGACCTGCCCACAAGGGTGACGGTAGCTCGCGCCCAGGAGAAGACGGCCTTCTAACGGTATTCATAAGGCGGAGGGAAAGGGAGGCGGTCCGCCTCGAACCCCTTCATTCTTGGGGTGACAGGACTGATCTAAGTAATGCTGGCAGACACGCCCGGCTACACGGAGCAGCGGGCCTGTGACCATGTGGGTTTGCCAGAGTTCTCTCCCCTCCAGAGGGACTCCCCTGTGCTGGCCTTCTGTGCCCTCAGCCCACACACCGGTGGGTGGGAGGGGACACGCTGGTCCTCCTGAGAGGGATTCTCCAGCGTCCCCGCGGCAGGGAGGGGAGCCAGGCGTCGGCTCCATCCAGCCTGAGTCACCCCCTCGGGCCCTCGGGTCCCCGCGGGGTGGCTGGTGTGCCTGCGGGCTGTGACCAGCACCCACCGACCTTCTAGTCTGGGAAACACGGAGGAGGTAAGAGGTTGTGCTATTTCCACGTCTGGTGATCTCAGTTCAGAACCCAATGCTTTCCCTGGTGGGAACAGTGACTGGGGCAGGTGACAGGACCTGATGCCAGGGAGAACAGACCCTGGAAGAAGTCGCCTCTCCAGGGTCCAGACGGCACCCTTCCTCTGCCTCGTCTGGGATTCCGGATCTGACCGCTGTCACAGCAAGATGGTGGTGATGCGGAGCCCGTAGAGGGCCTCCTCCCCGCCCGACACGGGGCACGCCCGACCCGACTTGCCTCCCATCAGCCCCCCCCCCACCCCGTGGGAATGAGCCTGCCACGTCACATTTGCATAAAGTTGAGAAGAAAGAGGCTGGGTTATCAACACAAGAAAGCACGTCGGGGGTGGGGAGCAAACACCCCCGCGTTGGACAAGTGCAGAAAAATCAAGGTTCAAATTTGGCGGCCTCTGCATCTCTCGTTATTTGTCTCTGGACCTTACAGCTGCCTCTGTGGCGGTCCCCTTGACCTCCCGGGAGGCCAACGGCTTGTAAAGGCATGCCCACACCTGAGTCCAGCTGACCGCCCTCTGCCCCCGGGCGGAGTTCTCGGCAGAGGCCTCAGCATGCGGCTTTCCCTCAGCCCCGGGCTGGGGCCTGAGCGGGACAGGAGGTCCCAGTGTCACCACGCATCGGCAGAGTCCCTGTGGGGAGCTGCTTGCAGACAGAGCCCTCCTGCAGGGGACGAGTCACTCCTGGGACCACTAATTCTGTCCCCCCCTGCCTTGCAGCTACTTCCTGAGCACCGAGGAGTCTCGGAGGCCACAGCTCCCCACAGGCATGGGCCGGCCGCACGGGCCCGCAGCCTTCAGAAGGCTCACAGGACTCTGCGAGGACGCTGGCACTCTGGGGGGCGTGAAATCAAAGCCACAGAGGCAGCCAAGGCCCAGAGACAATGGTCCAGGGATGCAGAGGCCGCCAAATTTTGATTTTTCGTGCACTTAACCAACGCTGGGTGTTGCCCCACCCCGGCGGCTTTCTGTGCTGATAACCCAGCTTCCTTTCAACTTTATGCAAATGTGACGAAGGGCTCATTCCCACGGGTGGGGCTGATGGGAGGCAAGTCGGGTCGGGCGTGGCCCTCGTCGGGCGGGAGGAGGCCTCTACTGGCTCCTGATCACCATCTTGCTGTGACATGGTCAGATCCGGAATCCCAGACGAGGCAGAGGTGTCACTGACCCTGAGGCCACTTCTTCCAGGGTCTCTGCTCCTCCCTGGCATCAGGTCCCACCTGTCACTGTTCCCACCAGGGAAAGTGGCTGGGTTCTTAAACTTAGAGATCACTAGACGTGGAAATAGCACACAACCTCTGCCTCCTCCCAGGTTTCCCAGACTATTGGGCCTGGTGCCACAGCCCAGGACACCAGCCACCCCCTGCTGGGGACCCCGAGTCCCAGGGGCATCTGTGGCTGATGGAGCCGACGCCCCTCCCATGGGACGCTTGGACATCCCTCCAGTGGGAGGACCAGCTGGTCCCTCCCACCCACCGGGTGTGTGGGGGCTGAGGCACAGAAGGCCAGCACAGGGGAGTCCCCTGGAGGGGAGAGAACTGCTAAAACTCCACATGGCTCCAGGCCCGCTGGGCTCGGGTGCAGTCAGCTGCAGCCTGGCACATTTAGATCAGTCCTGGCCACCCCAAGAATGAGGGGTTCGAGTGACCAGCCTCCTTCTCTCCCACTTTATGAATGTCTGCCTTCTCCTGGGGAGCCACCACCCCAGGGCAGGTCTCCCCATGGGTTTGTGGGGAGGGACCTCTCAAAGTGCTCCAGCAGGAACCTCCAGGTATATGAAGCCCTCGTATCTTCTATTTGGGAAATTGTATCAGGCCTCTTTATGAGCTTGGTGCTTGCACCTTGCTGCGGGTCCCGTTCCCCGTTCAGCCCCCCAAATTAAGTGAGGAGAAGCTCCACGCCTGCAGGGTTCAGCCGAGCCCGTTCAGCCCATGTCTCTTTGGGGTTCCTGATGTCATGACCAGTGCTAGGGTTCTCCTAGGAAAATCGATCTCAGGAAGACGAGCCCTGTTCAAAGAGCTGCAGCCGGCCTTCTCTCAGACCAGAGGCAGGGTCCAAAGTACTAGATAATCCAAGGGACCAGGCACTGTGCTCTTCCTCCTCCCAGCGGGGGGCACGCACAGGCACAGGCACTGCTGCACCTGTGCACCCAGAGAGCATGAAAATGTGAGTTCTTCCGGGGGCTCACCCACCAGGGAAGGGGGAGAACAGAGCAGAGCACTGGCCTTCCGGGGGATCTGGCGTGGGAGAAAGGCTCAATCGCGGAGCTGCCAGGGACTCCTCGAGCTCTTGAAAGGAGAGTAGCCACCAGCCCCGTCGAAGCTGGGGGCTTGGACCCGCGCTCTGGGCCCGGCCCCCGCCACCTGGGTTCACGCCTCAGCTGCCTCTGTTCCTCCAGCCAGCACGGTGGGCAGCTTCAACAGGCAGTGCATGTCCCAGACCTGGTGGAGAATTGCACCTACTTCAGTGCATCTCAGCCACAGCTGACTTCTTCCCTCCTCAAATGCGAAAGGTAGGCTGGCGTGCCCCTGGACCTGTCAAGCACTGAGATCCATGGGCCTCCACCCCGGCAGGGGTGGTGGTGGGAGTCCCAGACCAGGCAGGGATTCCCGCCCAGGTGGACTCAATGCTGGGCAGGGTTACCGGACCATCTCTATGGCCCACGGCTTATCAGGGCTACCTTAGGCCACTTAATCCCAGAGTTCCTCCACATCTCCAAACAAAAGTCCTAGAAGTAGATGGGTGTCCCACACGCTAACCTTCATTTATAAAGGTAATAAACGCCTCAAAGCTCAACTTCTTTAAGCATATTTAAGGGTCGAGGTGATCTTAGAAGTCTGAAAGAAATTATCGCCCCATGACTCAACATGGGGGTAACTATCCCAGAAAGTTCCTGATCACACCACAGCATACACGAAACAGTGGGCATGTCCCACGGTGGAAAACCAGTGTCTTTGAGTCTTGTCCTCAGAGTGTTGAAGGATAAGGTCTGAAATCCACAAATAAATATGGTTGTTGCCGCGTCTCAAGAGCTCCTGAGACCACGCTGTTGCAGGTGGAACTGACTGGGACCAGGACCACCAGGCCCACTGCTGCTTAAAGAAGGAGGAATGTCTGTGAGAGCATCTGTTCAAGTGGGTTTCTCAGCTGCACACCAGTGCGTGACCTCATCCCCTTTTGTGAGTA